CTTAATCACTTCAATATTAACAAGGACGCGAACTCCTATAAGGATGTCGGTCTTTAATAATATCTCGTCGGTGTTAGAACTTTTGTTTCAACATTGAAAATGACAAAAAATGTTTAGAAGTGCAAAAAATAGCCGATATACATGTTTGTAGTTGTGCATGCATGCGAAAATACATATATACAATTATACAAAGTTAAATAATTAACAATGTTTACGTAAGGAACGAGTTAAGCCCAGTTCCACAATTCGCGGTTTACTCTTAACCGAGGTTCAACTTATTCCTCATTTCTTTTCAATTCTAAAATTGGAAAGAAATGACGAATAAATTGAACCTCGGTTAAAAGTTAATCGTGAATTGTGGAACTGGGCTTTAAAAGAGGAAAGGAAAAGAAATATTGATATAGTAAAACATATTTCTTAATTTAAAATTTAAATACTAACTGAAAAGAAAAACTGTTGTATGAGTTAAAAGTGGTAGAGCCGCGGTTTTAGTGTTGATAAAAATTTGCTTAATCTAACTCACTTACCTTATCTCAACATTGCCAACTAACTTTTTCTTAGCTCACCAAACCTAGAATTTTGCGCCCACTGTTATACACCACTGTTATACACACTGGTATACACCACTGCATCAATTGCTGTTACTATTGCGCATGCGTCAAAAATGCAACACATCTAGCAAACGCTGTCTATTGCTGCGTTTCATTATTCACTGTCAGCACTGGCAGCATTGCACATGCCATTCCAAAATATATCGCAGTAAACTTCCAATATACTTTTGCGTTTACATGACGTCATAAATTTTTGCGTCACTTCCTGTTTCTATTACTGCGACTGGCGAGGTCAGGTAATCGCAGTAAAAAGATGGCGAAATTCAACGAAATGGGAAATCAGGAAAAAATTTGTTTTTTAAATGTCGAAACGAATAATGTCAAAAAGTTATGACATATTAATATGACATATTAATGAATAAAGTAGATGTAGAAAAAGCACGCAAAAATGTGAATATAATTAATAATTCCAAATTTTATCAAAATTTAAAAAATTATTTATTTCTACACAGTCCTACCAAGTACTACTAAATCCGTTTCGTTATGCAATGTTGTAACGTCAAAGAAGTACTATTGGTAATTTCAAAACGCTTCTGCAGTACTACGTTATGACGTCATATTGTCAGTACTGACAGTGAATAACGAAACGCAGCCTATACCTCTTTTTTTTTTTTTAATGAAACGTAGGGAATGCGAAATTGCGGAAAAGTGCATACAAGTACGAAAGGGTGTGCACGCAAAGTGAAAAAGTACCAAGACGTACGTTTGTTCCGTTTAATTACGCTCCTTTACAATTTTTTTCTCTTTCCCTAAATCTAAAATTGTCTCAGGATGTACAATGTGAATATCGTAATCTATTTGCAGGCAGACACGTGAAAATGTGAAAGTTGAAAAAGTGACAGAGGCTTACGGCCTTTCCGAAGGTCCACATTGGGACCATCGTACTCAAAAATTGTATTTTGTTGACATATACAATCAGTATATACGCAGACTAGATCCTGCAACAGGTGTTGTAACCAGCGCACACATAGGTAGACTATACTGTATACGTCTCTTCTTTATTAGAGGAAAGGCCAAATTGGAGTGACTTTTGAATCTGGTGGGGAGGGATAGTTGAATGGAACGATTTTGAACTTGTTTTGTTTTATATTATTATTTTTAATTAATTATTAGCAAACACACAAAAATCACAAAATCTCACATATTTAATTTACTAATTTACTTAATTTTTCTCTTAAAATTGTGAACTGATTCTTCAAATTGAAAAAATTTAAATTTATAACACTAATTGTCTCAGAGAATCTTTCTATAACTTTCACCTCTAATTCCTTCTTCTTTTCTAGAACTAATTTCTTTTGTGAATAAGCATTAAGCATATAAGTCCATTTAAGCAATTTTATCCTTTAAAATTTAGGAGGCCACAGCCCTCCTATCCTCCTTGGTTACATTCATGCTTCTTTATAAACTTTTCTATGTTTCACTAAATTTATAGCATTTATTTTATTTATTGATTTATTCTGATTGAGCCATTTTAATAATTTAATTTATTTTATAATAGAATTTATAAATTCCACGATGCTTTTTCAGGTCATGGGACTGTAGGAGTTGTTATACCTGTGGATGAACCTGTTGACCAACTTATAGTAGGTTCAGGAAAAGATGTTGTTCTTGTTAAATGGGATGGAGACAGCAATGAATCTAAGGTACCAGTCAAAGTGTTGTGTTCACTTGACTCTCCTCAGGCTCAAACGAGAATTAATGATGGAAAAGTGGACTCAGCTGGAAGATTTTGGCTCGGTAAACTAAAAATATCACAAATAATAGAAATGCAATTTATTTGCTTACATTACGCCTAATATATGGGTGCCTTCCAACAAGCAACACAGTGAGACACAGTGATCATGTCATCTTTGTTTAACATTGGCAAACAACAAGGATGTAATGATCCATTGAGTCACACCGTGTCATTTGTGTTGCTTGTTGGAAGGCACATTATATTTTTCATAGGTACTATGGGTAACGAAATCAATGGAAAGATAGCTCCCAATTTAGGAACATTGTATCGTGTTGATAATGATCTTGAACCAGAAAAGGAAATATCACCTGTTACAATAAGTAACGGATTGGCATGGAATATTGAAGACGACACTTTTTATTATATTGATTCACCTACTCGTCAGGTTACAGCGTATGATTACAATCCTAATAATGGAACAATATGTAAGATATTAGATTTTCTATTTGAAATTATGTTATGAGCAAATGTGCACAAGTACATATCATATGTAATTGAAAATTACATCAACCGTAAAGCATAAAATTCAAAAATGGAATTTATTATTTATTTATGTATGTTTATAATTTTTATATTTTAGCTAATAAGAGGATTGTATTCGATCTCAATAATACTAATTTGAAAGGACTTCCCGATGGAATGACTATAGATGCAGATGGCAATCTTTGGATAGCATTATTTGGTGGATCTCAAGTAAGTAGAGGAAGGTTACTGACATAGTCTCGTAAAGAGGGACATCCCCTTATTTCTTAGAAACTAACCTTTGCACTTTAATACTAATAAAAATGTGATCTGTTTAGCTAATTAAAGAAGTACAAACTCATAATTCATATATTTGTGGCTTATTTCTATACCAAATCAGCTAAAAATTCTATGAATCCAAGAAGAAAATTCTTACGGTGTTCTTTTGCAAATTGCGTAATTAAAATAATAGTGACTGTATTATTGATAATATTATGTCATTTTAAATGTTTATAATTTCATAAATTAGTTTTCTTTACAGAATAGGATATATATCTTTATTTATAGAATAGGAATTTTGGTATTATTGCCTACTATGTCAGTTTTGGATCCCATTTTATCAGACGCTCATTTTTGCATAACTTACGAAAAACTTAATTATTGCAAAATTGTAAACAGTATTATAAAAACTGCTTATACTATCTGATTGAAGACACTTTTTAGTTCGTATTTATGTTTTTGAAGTTGTATTTTTACCTTTTGTTTAAGAAATATTGTCTATTATCTAAAAACAAATGGTATGTCGGTATCGGACCTTCCCCTATATAAAGCAACATTTAAAAATATTATAATGAATCATTATTTATAATATTATAGAATTACCTAATGATATATGTATATAATTAAATTTTATTATAGTTCTAATTATATGATATAATTCTAATGATCCAGATAGCAACGTATCTGTTTTGTTGCTGGCATGTTGCTTGCTAAGTATGTGTTGCTACCAGAATTGTAACAACTGAGTCCTCATTTGTTACCTTCATGGTATGATAATATTGAGTAGCAATTTACCGACAACTTTAAAATCGTCATCATCAAAATTCGTACTATTGTCATCATGTTGCCATAATAATATGCGTATACAATGCTGTCATATTGCCGACAACGCAAGATAACATTGACGCAGCTATCTTGCTGTTAAACTGCTGGTAGTACATATACACATTGTTGTCTGCATGTTGCTACAATGTCGGTATATTCGAAATCATTGAAGACAAATCTATGGCAAATTGCCAGCATCATAAGCAATCACAGATTTGTGCGATTTTGCTGAGACACGCTTTCTTATCTGGGGATATATGTATATAATTAATATGTATATAATGTATATAATATATGTATATAATTAATGTATATAACATGTATATAATTAAATTTTATTATAGTAATTGAATTTATCAAAATATCATTGGAATTCTTGTAATCCATGAAAAATTTATCTATTCTAGGTTATTTGTGTGGATCCGAAAACAAAAAAAATATTATTCAAAGTTGAGCTTCCAGCTGAAAACGTAACCAGTGTCGCATTCGGCGGTCCGCTCCTAGATACTTTGTACGTGACCACATCTGGCTACAATATAAGTGCAGAGCAACGACAAGCGACTCCTCACGCTGGTGCTCTATTCGCGGTGACAGGCCTAGGAGTTCATGGAATTCTTGCAAATTCATTTATGAAGATGGATTAAAAGACTAAGAATTTTGCAAGAAATATCAATAAATATCTTGATACTTCTTGCGAAAATATACGTAATTTCTAAATTTTATATTATTGAATAAAAATTGAACACTTCTCCTAAAAAGCATTTTTTTTTTAGGTTCATTTGATTAGGTTGAAAAAACCGACACTTGACACGATTAATTAAATTTTGATTTGTAAATATAAAATACCTTGTTAACATGATTACGTAGTAAGTTTTTGAATCATAACTTGTTTGCGTTTATGCCTTGATAGATATAAATCTGTAGATCTCTAATCTTCTTACACACACAGAATTCTAATCTACATTAGAAAAAAAAATTATAAAATTTTATACACTATAAGATCAACATTTAATTGTTAAATACGAACTTGACAATTGCACGTATATTTCTAAAATAAATATTATAATAAACAAATATAATTGTTTCCTTCTTATACGTTATGGTATTGTCTTCAAAGCTGCAATTTTTTTCTCACAATTGTACAGAGTTGAATGCAACTGTTCGAAAGAATTCTCATGACATATATACCAGCTCCCATGTCACTTTCAATCTTCGAAATTTCCTGTATTAAATCATCTAAATTCTTCTTCATTTTTTCATAGATTCCTGTAAGATTACCAAGATTGTCGGTAAGCTTTCAGCTTTAAGTCTGTATTCTTTTTGAAGAATGTTTTTGGATTGTGAAGGCCTCACACCCGTAAAAGCCTTCAAAATATTATCAATATTCTGAACTGGTTTCTTAATGCAATAATAAGTTAGAGTGAAACAAACTGTTCCTTTTTCAACTTATTGCACCAGTATATACGTTTAAAACATTTTTCGGAAAAAAAACCTCCAAGTTTAAAAAACAGAATCATAATCTCTGTATAATGATACTATAATTTTTTGAAAAATTAAAATATAGTCTGTGTATCGTCTGATTAGTTGTCCTTGCTCGACATTGTGGACAAGTCTTTGATCTGAAACAATTCCATAGATGAAGTTAAACACTTTCAAACATGTATAAATAATATAAAACTTTTCAGAGGAATTATATGTATGAAAGCTTCTTTGAATAATAGGCAAAAGAAGAACTACAAGAGCATGCAAAAATTTTTGGTGCACTATCCAAATTACTTCTCAAACCACTGTAGTAAGCACGTTTCGTAATATATGTGTCCACACGGTGTGTGAAAAATATCGTCGAATGGTTCCAGTAACTCGTCACATATCACGCACACTATATACATTTTATATAGATTTGCTGATAGAAAATCGGTGTCTTGTGAGTGAGAATTGGCTTAATAACAGATGATCAATTTCACGATATTATATCGTTGTAAGTTCTTGATCCACACCGTTATAAATTGGAAAACTTGAAATGTTTGCCTATATACAAGTTAGAAAAACGTTGAGTCAGTCTTATTAGCTCCGAGTCTCGAACAATACAAAGCGTCCGCACCCAAAAGTTTAAAGTTGTTGCGACCACTGTGAAAAAACACGTGACCCCCAGACTAAAAATCCTATAACAGAGATGCGATCAAAGTCTCACTACAAATGTTTTGAAGCATTTGATTAATCAATCAGAAGAAAGATTTTTATTAATTGGTCAATCAAAGAATGCTTCAAAGCATCTGAAGAACCTACTGAGCTCACTGAATATATTTACAACGGTTTGAAATATGTAATCGCACGCTACAATATACAATTTAATAAGCGAGTACAATGACTTCTCGCGTTTAAAATTGACTGCGCTAACTTTAAAGTATTGAGTAATAACTGTATATACAAATAAAAAATTAGAGACCTAAATTAATTTATATAAATAAAATAATATATTTACACGAATTTTCTTTTAAACTGTTACTATCATTATATACCATAAACTGTTACTATCATTAAAGATCCGTACAACGAGGGAGGTAAAAGATAAAATCGATTTAAACCATAGAACACATTTTTTTCCGAGGATACTACGTACGCAACAAAGAATTGCGTAACGAGTACCTTGGTGCAATTGCGTTATCAGAAGGGACTATTATTACTTTATCGTCTTGAAGTTCTACTTTTAAGTTTTCATATAAAACTTGTGGGGAAAAACAGAGAATTGACAAACGGTGAAACAAAGTTGTGTTAATAGGAGCTGATAATTCTTAATTCGGAGTGACCTTTTTAATAGCAAATTTCAGTAAACTTAAACAAAGTTTAAAGTACACACACATACAAATTGTTTTAGAAAACGTTTAAGTTTACTGAAACTCTCTCTCTCTCTCTAGTTACATTAAATCAGTGTACAGTACATATAAAAAAAGTGTAATTATATATAAAATACATACGATAAAAAAAAATGTTTCCTTATGCAGAAATGCTTTAATAGAATTAATAAAAAAACAATGTTATTTTATTTGTCTGTGAGCATAATAACATTAATTAAATTGTATTTTTAACATTACAAAGAGGTACGTACATGTATAATAGAAATTATACATTATAATTAATGTAATGTTTTTTGTTTATTCTATCTAAATTTGTGATAAATAACATTATGATTAATAATATTAAAATAACATACTTAATGAATTTTATTGTCTACTCCTGTAGACTAAATTTATGTTTCTCTTAGAATATTTATACGTACATATTCTCTAATTAAAAAATTAATTTTTTTCCAATTTTCTTTACACCATTAGTACACGTCATGAGAAGAGCAATTTATAAATTTGTGTATTTAATGTACATTTTCGTCTTCATCCGTGGCGGGTAAGTGAAAAATATTGCATCCACAAATTGACAAGACACGCACCTATGTTAAAAAAAGGAAATCATAGTTCTCTAATGCGTATATTAAATAATATTTCCTTCTGTCGAGATAATGAGAAACAAAAGCTTATTTTTGGTTTTGTTATTACAATACTAAAAATAAATACAATAGTGTTGCGGTATATTTATGTTATGTGAGGCAACATTTTGAGAATGCTGATGACGAAATATGTCGAATATTTAAATCAGCTTATTTTAAACGAGGTGTTAATCTAGTTACAGAATAAAAATATTTCCACAAAAAATTGAAGTTAAAATATGTACTTATAACCATCCATCTTCCTGGAAACACAAGTGATGTTTAACTTTAATCATAAAAGATTATTGGATTGAATCATTCAATATTTCGAAGCTTATCAATAGTAAAAATAATCATTATTAAAAAATGCATTCGTATTATATTATAAATACGTTTTATAAAAATTTGCGCGACACTTACGTTTCGTAAAATATTTAAAAAATTTCTTGCAGAAACTTTCTGCGAACACAGTAACGTACATATATAAATTTCTCTGAGAGCATTATGAACGTTTATTTTTATATTGGGGATTTTATCTAAGGATACAAATAATTTTGCTCGTTTCCTCTTCTATCTTTCTGTCCGCATAAGCATTTGCTACTTATATCTAATGTTCCATTAGAAATATCTGTCGATAATTTGTTTGTAGGCAGGCGCGTAAATGTGTGAATTTGATAATTGAGAAGGTAACAGATATTTATGGCTTTTCTAAGAGCCTTCATTGGGACAATTGTACTCAAAAGCTGTACTTTGTTAATATATACGATCAATACATACATAGTCTAGATCCCGCAACAGGTGTTGTGAATAGTGCATACGTAGGCAAGATTATATATCTTCTTTACAAGCTTTCCTATGTTCTAATGAATTTATAGCACATTTGTAAGTTTCACAATGCTCTTTCAGAACATGGAAGTATTGGAGTTGCTATACCTGTAGCTGGCATGACTGACCAATTTGTAGCAGGTGCGGGAAAAGATGTTGTTCTCATTACGTGGGACGGAAACAGCAATAAATCGAACGTATTAGTCAAAGTATTGTTTTCGCTTGACTCTCAGGTTTCAACAAGAACCTATGACGGGAAAGTGGACTCAACTGGAAAATTGTGGATCGGTAAACTGAAAACGTTGCTATTAGATAGAAATGAGATCTATTCATTTACACGATTAATATTTTTCACAGGTACTATGAGTGATAAAGTTGCTATGAATGATATGAATAAAATGGCAGTAATCCCCAAACAAGGGTCGTTGTATCGCATTAATGATGACCTAAAACCCGAGAAGAAAATATCGCCTGTTACAATAAGTAACGGATTGGCATGGAATAAACAAAATAGTATCATGTATTATATTGATACACTTACTCAAGTTGTGGCGTATGATTACAGTCCGAATAATGGGACAATATGTAAGATATTAGATTTCCCATTTAAAATTATGTTATAAGAAAATGTGCAAGAGTGTACATCATACGTAACTGAAGATAGTAAAGCACAAAATTAAACTGAAAATTACAATAAAGCATAAAAGAGAGAATTTAAGGATTATGTATGCTTATAGTTCTTATGCGGAGTCTACAATAGAAGTCGTAGCAGTCGTAGGGTCTTAAGTCGTAGAAAATTGACCAATCACAGTCAAATATGAGAAGAATAATCAACTGTGATTGGTCAATTATCTACGACTTAAGACGCTACGACCGCTATGACTTCTATTGTAAACCCCGCATTGTTTTAGCTAACAAGAAGATTGTATTTGATCTCAGTAAGACTAATTTGAAAGGAACACCCGATGGAATGACTATAGATACAAATGGCAATATTTGGATACCATTATTTGGTGGATCTCAAGTAAGTATACAAAGCAACATTTAAACATAAATGAATTATTGTTTGTAATATTATTATAGTCCTCTAATTTATGTATACAACATGTATATATACATTTACCTCATTCATCATTATGCTATCTGCCAGGACTAGCGAGTTATTTACATAAATGTGAAAATGTTTGGAGTGCGTACTTTATTTTGTCTAGTACTGTATATGTATATAGAATATATATAATAAAATTTTATTTTTTATTGTAACTTCTATCAAAGAAAAGATGACAGTTATTATTTCTTGAAAGTGATTACCATAATCAACAATGTAATATTTTTTTGTAAAATTGATATTTTTTCTAGATATTAATTTGAAATTCTCGTCTTTGTTGAAGATTTAAATTTAGCAACTTAAAAAAAAAATATATATATATCGGTTAAAAAGATTCGTGAAAATATTATTGGAGTCTTGTAATCCATGAAAATGACTATAGGTAATTGGCGTGAGACCGAGGACAGGAACTGTATTATGTAAAGTTGAACTTCCGGTTGAAAACGTAATCAGTGCCACGTTCGGCGGTCCGCTTCTAGATACTTTGTACGTCACCACAGCTG